CTTATTTGTCTTGTACGTTGAGTCGATCAAAATCACAAATGGCCAAGACTTGATCATATCAGCACAATCAGGATGCACAAGGAAAAGATGAGTCACCTCCGTTGTATCTTCATCAGAATCAAACCAGAACAGGTAACCACGTGATTGTGCCTGGTGTAGCAGCTGCTGCATAGGGTTCCTTCCCTCTGACCGTTCAAACCTGAGTTGCTGTCTGACGTTGTAGATGTGTCTTCGGTTTGGATGGTCTTCTGGAAATTTCTCTAACACAGATGCTAATATTTTAGCAGGCTTGACTTGAGCATCACTCATTTCTTTCACAACTAGTTTCGCAGCAGGACTTAAGCCGCTCAGCTGTCGATGACCCTCTTCATATAATATCATCTCATGGTTGTGATACCCCCATTTAGAGTAACCAATCACTTCCCAACCGTCACGACTCCGTAGTTGTCGGACCTTTACTCTGAACTCACACCCACAACCTTTCCGCTTTGTATCAAACTGAGTGGCTGTACGAAAATCTCTTTCTTCTCTTTTGCGATAACGGTCACATCTCAAAATGCGATCCATTCTACCATCCCGTTGAGATTTATGAGTTACTACTACCAAGCAAAATCCAGCTGCAATTGCAACCTGTTTTGCCCAATCAATCGCTTGTTGAGCTTCTTCGAATGGACCATCATGTCCAAATATCCCACTGTAATCATTTCCGTCACCACCATAATCCTGCATCAGTTATATATTATAATAAATACATTTAACGGATAATACATTTAATTTCTATATTTACACAGAATTAACAAAAAAAAAACATAATTATGTATAATATTCAAACACAATCATTTATAAAAGTCACATAAACAATTTCCAATTTTTTTTTAATACAATTTCGAATTGTCAAACTTAATTTTAGAAAAAAACCTTTCTCAACAATCAAACTTAATTTTTAAAAAAACCCAATTCGAATTTTCAAACTAAAATTAAAAAAATACCATTTCGAATTTTCAAACTTAATTTAAAAAAAACCTATTTCGAATTTTCAAAACTAATTTTAAAAAAACCCATTTCGAATTTTTAAAAAAAATCATTTTCGATTTTAAAAAAAAAAATTAAAAAAAAATCAAAAACAACAAAATCAAAAAAGAAAAAAAAGAAAAAAAAAAAACAAAAAAAAATATAAGGTGGCGTCTGCCAGGGCCGCCACAGCCGCTGGACTGGCACCTGGAAGGGCCGCCTCAGCCAGTAGAGTGGCGCCTGGCCAGGACGCCAGTCTGGTGGTCTGGGCGTCTGGGCTGGACGCCACTGTGGTGGTTCTGGCGTCTGGCTTGGACGTCCAGGCTACGGTTAGGGCGTCCATCCTAGGCGCCGGAGCCACTCCTACGGTTAACCGTGAATTTTAACGGTGACTTACCTCGTTTTCCGTCGACGACGACGTACCTCCGGCGTCCCCCGCATCTCCGGCCTGCCCTCCGGTCTCCCCCGGCGAGCCAGTACGGCTCCACATATTTTAAACCGAGATTTGTTCAATTTTAGAAAATGGGCATAATGGTCACACCATGTCATATTTGTGGGCTTTATATGGTAATTTGCGGGCGATGTTTAACAAATCCCAAAAGTAAAGGTGGGAGATCTGGTTCCTCAAAGGGAGGAGTGATCAATCTGTTTTGACTTCCCTCGGTGAGAGTAATTATTGCTTTTTTTTAATGAGGATTAATAAAGGTATTTATAGTCTTGGGAAGCGTGTCCAATCCTAGGTTTAGGTCAACCTAGAGCTGATTGGGTTTTTCCTAGAAACTGGGCCTAGGTGGCCATTTTCCTAGGTGGCAATCAGCAGGCCACTTGGCGTGGCATGATTGGTCCATGGTGGACAAATGGATGCGTGCCACGTGGCAGGCCTTGAGAGGTCCAACTGGAGGACACTTGGTAGGACCTGATTGGTCCACGTGGCGTACACTGATTGGCGGGAAAAAACCCCTAATCAATTATCATAAGGTCTCTTCATAGATATTATTCAAACATAATTAATACATTATAATTATTGGAAAAAAAAAATTCCGTATAAATTTGTAATATTATTGGGGTGTATGTCCACATTTTGCCGTGTTTTATTCGGCCTATTTGACTTAATATGGGCAATATGAGAATTGTAAAGTTTGGGGTAATATAAGTTGTAATATTATTACTAGCTTATCAAATTTCAAATAAAATAAGTTTATATAATACAAGTCCAGGCAAAACAAGTTGAATAATTGAGGTTTGGGGAATGAAAATGGAAGTCTTTGTCATTTCATTTTTAAGATAAATAATTACACAATAGTGGTGTAAATGGATTTTGATTTCATATCTTAATTGCGAACATCAAAACTTCATCAACTAGGTGACGTTCACAATTGGTTTTTTTTTTTTTTTAATCTTCTCCTACAATTTTTATGTAAGGAAGATTCTAACCAAACTTCAACTAAACCTCGTGGATTTTGAGTCCAGTATTTGCGAGCCAAGCATTTGATGGTAGAGGAAAAAGGCAAGGAAATCCCCACTTCCAAACACCCTCAGTTAATAAGAGGCGTACCTCAAGCCTTTGAGTTCTAAAGTAACACTTTTACTAAGTGAGTCAAGTCTTATTATACGGCTCTCTTCTTACGTGTCAGGATAGATTTGTCAATAAAAGAAAATAGAAGGATAACACAATAGGAGCATTAAATTAGTTGTTAGTTTGTTCTCTTTCATTGTAAACTTCCCTCTTGTACTCCTTCTAGAACTTTGGATGCATGACAATAACTCACACTGTCCATGTAGCCATGCAGGACATCCACCATGCAGGACATCCACCATGCAGGACATGTTCACATTCATCAACCATCACATAATCTTAATAAATTCAAGGTTTTTTTGTAAACTACCACCCAAAAAATAGTCCACTTTTGATATAACCACCCAAAAAATATTTTATTTTAAATTACCACCCATTAAATTAAACAAATGCGCAGATTACCACCCATTTAGATTTTTCGGTAGAATTTCCGTCAGTGGGCCCCACTTTTTTAATTTTTTTTCCTTTTTTTTCTTCAATTTTCTGGCTTTCTCATCTCTTTCCCCGATTTTTCACTCAACTTCTTCCTACTTTCTTTCTTCTTCCCAACCACCACCACCACCATTGCTCCACCTTTCCCCTCCTTCTCCCCCGTCGCGTCTGCCAACAACAACCCACAACAACAACATCAACAAACAACCACCAGTTCAGCCACCCAATAAATTGCCACCCAATAATTAACAACTTGTGGTGAACGCACATCTGGGTTTCAAAATTGGGCATAAATTAATGGTCGAATGTTGCAATTGGAGCTGAAATCGGTGTTGTCGGGGATGAAATTGAACCAATTGGTGGTTGAAATAGGTTTAATTGGCGACGAATTGGGTGAGATTGGTGAAGCGATGTTGAAGAGGTAGGGTACGGTGGTTGCGGGCTGATGCTGCTGCAATTGGGTGCGTGTGGGCTGCTGAAGGTGGTTGTTGTTGGTGATTGGAGCTGAAATCGGTGTTGTATTGGTGGCTGAAATTGGTTTAATTGGCGACGAATTGGGTGAGATTGGTGAAGCGATGTTGAAGAGGTGGGGTTTGGTTGCGGGGTGATGTTGCTACAATTGGGTGCGTGTGGGCTGCTAAAGGTGGCTGCACAAATGCGGTTGCTGAAGGAGTTCACTGATGGTGGCTGGGTGGGCGGCAGTTGGGGTGCAGCGGTGGTGGTGCTGTTGTTATTGGTTGGGGAGTGATGGCAGGGGAGAAATTGCAGGGAACTCATTGCCAGAAGATCGAATTGAAGGAGAAATTGTATTAAGGTTAAGGAATCAGCATCATTAAAAGATTTTTGTGATGGAGCAATGGTGGGGGTGAGGGTTAGGAAGAAGAAAGGAAGAAGAAGAGTGAAATCGGGGAGAGAGAGCGAGAAAGCCAGAAAATAAAGGAAAAAAATAAAAAAAGTGGGGCCCACTGACGGAAATTCCACCGGAAAAACAAAATGGGTGGTAATCTGAGCGTTTTTTAATTTAATGGGTGGTAATTTAAAATAAAATTTTAATTGGGTGGTTATTTAGAAATTGATACTATTATTGGGTGGTAATTTGCAAATTATCCTAAATTCAAATGAGGTAGAAAAAAGGACTTAATTGTTACACTAGAATAATTGATAATAAAGTATAAGTATAGTTAGTTATTTGCAAATATTAAAGCAAACCCTATATTAAAGCAAAAAACTAACATTTTTTAAAAAAATGCATAATAGCTACACTTTATATGGGATTAGTAAACAAATAAGTATTCATTAAAACTTAAACATAAACAAAAAATATACCCTAAAATGTGGGTCTATTGTAAAAAAAAAAAAAAAAAAAAAAAAAAAAAAAAAAAAAAAAAAAAAAATTAAATAAACAAAAAAGAGGAAGGGAGTAGGATTGATTTGGGGTATGATTGTAGTGCACACTAATGATGACCGGTAAGCCACTAACGACTATGGAAATTATTAATTAGCATTTTCATCATTCTAGCCTGCTTCTTCTTTTTCTTATGTCCTTTTTTCCCTTCCTTTTCCTACTTTTCGGATTTTACTAATATATAAATTAAACTTCATTTTTATGCATGTTACATATAAGTACGTACATAATCACTTTAGGCCCTGTTTAGTTCACCTTATTTTTACTTATTTTAGAAAAATAAGTTCAGATCAGATCAGATCAGAAAAAATAAGTTCAGATTAGGAAAAATAAGTTCAGATCAGATCAGATCAGGAAAAATAAGTTCAGATCAGATTAGATCAGAAAAAATAAGTTCAGATCAAATTATTATTATTATTATTATTATTATTGATTTATGATGTATCGGATTTGATTTTATCGTTTGCTTGAACTAGCAACACTGTCTATGTTATTAAATAGCACAAACAATAAACGATAATAATTAAAATTTCATTATAAACTCCAAGTCATAAACGTTTAGAAATATAATTTTCATTACAAGAAGTTCCAAATTTCCTTCGCTATATTAAGTTGTACTTCTTTCATTACAGCTTTACGATTCTCGTTAAACAAATCATAATCTGCTCTTGGTTCGAATTCTATACCACTATCAATGGGTATATCCAACTCATGTAATCGAATAAAATTGTGAAGTGTGAATGTAGCAACCATAATTGCCAATTGATGTTTAGTGTCCATTTGTGGCATCATTGTCAATATTTTCCATCGACCTTTTAATTGTCCAAAACATCTCTCGATCGTTGTTCGAAGTGAAGAGTGAAGATAATTAAAAAGTTCAAGCATGCCTTGTGGTGGTGGACCATTTCGAAATTCAGGCAAATGGGTTCTAATATCTTTTTCTTTTATTGGACTCAAATATCCAACGGTATTCGGATATCCAGAATCTACTAGATAATATTTTTCTATTACAAAATAAAGTTATACAGCATATTAGTATAGTGTCATGTATGGAGTAAAAACATACACTATTTTAAATTATACCTGGAGGTGGATGGGGAACTTGAAATTCTGGTACAGTTAAGCAATGGTTCCATACAGTAATATCATGAGCACTACCTTCAAATCCAACGTTGATAAACGTGAAAAGCCTATCAAAGGAACATGCAGCCAAAACATTCCATGTTTTTTTTTCCTTTACGCCCTCGATGTGCCACACCATCATCATCGCTTACAACTGCATTTATATGAGTCCCATCCAATGCTCCAACACAATCCTAATAGTTCATTAACATTTAGGATACATTTTATAAGTGATTATATAATGACAATACAAGATAATAATAATGTTTCTTAATACCTTGAAATATGGCCAATATTTTGTGCTGTCACCTATTTTTTTTGGCACCACGGTCAAACTTTGGTATGGTCTTATGATCTCGGTAGACAAATGAACCATTGCTTCCAGTACTTGTTTAAAGTACAACCCAATTGTTGCAATAGAGTGCTGAAATCGACCGGCAGCATCACGATAAGAACTGCCTTTAGCCATGATATATAAAAATATTCCTAATTGCTCAGCCACAAATATGTAACGACCATCCGATAATAAATTTTTATTTTTCATGCAAGTAACAAGATCCACAAATATGCTTCTATCTAATCTCAATTGTTCTTTGCATAAATCAGGATGGGCATGTAGTAGTCTGTTTATGTATTCGCTACCAGATTCTCCACCTAACCTTAAAGGCAATCTCTCAATTGGTGTAAGAAGTCTCTTTAGCTCTTCCAATGCGATAATTGTCAAGCACATTGGAAGTGTGTTATCCATTCTACAACATAAACCAACAAAATACCAACATTATTCAATTTGTAAAATAAAATCAACAATGACTTTTAAAATAAAGGCTAAAGCTTCTTAATTAGATCACCTGAAAAGCAATAGCATCATATGAAGCTACTTAAACCTAAAGGTCAGAAAAAATAGTAGCTTCATATGTGGAACCGTAATTAAAACTAGAACAACATCAAATAACTAACAAAGAACATATGAAAGTGCAAAACAAGTCATAGGAAAACATAAGACAAAGTTAACTTCAAATACTCATCACCCCAAAAAACCTAATTAAGGACCACCCAATGTTGGATCTTGAAATGCTGTCTTCAAATACATGATCTTCTGATCATCACTTCGGAGACCTAAGAAGAAATCTGCATTATCGCCATGATGAAGAAAATTCATACATTGATAAATAAATCCTTCTCCTTGTTGAACAATAGCCTCAATATTGTATAGAGCATATGAGACATCTTTATACTTATTACCACTCCCTTGCTTACAATTAGTTTCAATAGACATTTTCAACAACTCTATACAAGAGTCAATGTTACTACTCTTGTTTTTTTTAAGTTTACTAGTACACCCATCACTCTTACGTTTCCCCAACGAGGTACTTTTAGGAGGTGAAATGCTCTGTTCATCATCCGAATTATTTATTCCCCTACTTATTTCCATATCTCCTATATTTTCATCACTGTCCCCGGACCTTTCCTCATTTTCTTTACCAATTTGTTCCCCACCTAATTCGGGAGAAAAACTCCATTTGCTAGTAGCAAAAGACCCTGAAAAAAGTGCCCGTAACTTCTATAGATGAGGCAATGGTCTCATTAGGAATCTCGCTGGCATACCTTTATATTTTTGCATAAATGCACAAAATTTCGATTAAATAAATTTTAAAATAAAATAGCATTGTAGAGGTCATAATGCAACAAAATGGATAAACAAAATGTCGCACCTTTACAAATATATTCCACCTATCATCTTGTTCAACTACAGGACAACCAGTAATAGGATCAAATGTAAGACCGGTCCAATTGAGTTCCATTTCATTCCAAATTTTGAACCTTTTCCTTAAATCATCCCAATGATTTCTTGCTTGTTTAATATTGAAATTCTTCCCACTTTTAACGTTCAAAGTACTCATTATTCTATCCCAATTAACCTTTGATAGTCCACCTGCTTTCATCTCCAAGCATATGTCCAAAAAAAAATTTTGTACTGTCATCAGACCATGCTACCCTACCATCCATTACACTATGATCAAGAACACTTTAAAATTATTAGTTTCATGCATGAAAGATATAAATAATCAAAATAAGTACATAAATATATACGTTACGTTTCTTCTTCTTCAAAAAATATATACGTACTACTTCTAACATCTATTGAGAAACTAGGACCACAGAACATGGATGTATTTGATCTAGAAAAGAACTTTGCATTTTTTGCTGCATATCATTGCATATCATAGCAACCCAGTTAATATTTTTATTCATATGCTGTTTGTTTGGCCAATTTTTTATACTGGGCTATGCTACTATACTTTGTACCCATGCTGTTTTTCACTAATTTTGCACTAATTTTCACGATAACCCAACTCTAAACAATTAAACCCATAAGTAAACAATTCACAAATCACAAGTATTGTAAAAGTTAAATAACAAGGTGACAATCGATAGATAATTTTTTAAAAAATGATATATCATCTTATAACCTACTATACAATCATCAATTTGACTAAACACTTATATAGCCTATAATCCAAAAAACTGTCCTTTTTTTAAGGTATTGTCTATGCAAAGTGTATTAATTAATTAATTGTAATAAAGTTAAAGTAATGCTTTGCATACGTCAGTAGGTATGTATTTGTTTAAGTTTGATTTCCTTTTTAATTATTCCTTAAAGCATGAGCAAGTGACCATTATTATTATTGCACTCCGTATTATTTATGAATTATGATATTGTGTCAAAAAAATGAAAAAAAAAAACTATTAGTTGGTGAGTTCCTAAATTTAGAAATATTATTAGTTTGAAAGTTACAGATCCAGTAATCTGGTCCACTTCACCAACTCGTACTTCATATTTTTGTCATAATTTCTCATCATCAAGCTAATAGGGAACATTTATATATAATGTTCAGGATTTTATTTTTTATTTTTTTTTTACTTTAAATGCAATCATTAGTAATATCTATATATATGAGGTGATTGGACTATAGAGAAACACAAGTTTAAATGGTCCCTATGGACAAAAAATTTCATATATTTACGATTAGTATATTATATTGACCTTTACGGAGTAATTAAGGCTTAACGATAGTCAATTCAAAAACGACATTTAACTAAGCAATTGGATCAATTTGACATAAAATCGCATGAAATTAGATGATTCTCATTGAACTTTAAAATGCTTTAACATGACTCTGAGTCATTATAAACCACATCGGCCTACCAACAAAAGGAATTTTGTAGGGAAGTTTTATTGCTCGGTCGTTTATGGCCAGGTTTACCAATTACCATATTGATCTTTCAACAAAATAGAAATTTATCAAAGAAAACAACAAAAGTATCATATCTAATTATATACGTAGTATATTTTTTGAGTTATACTACTACACTACATTGTGATGTGACTATTTATGTTGTTATTATTACTACAACTCCCATTCTTCTTTTTTTATTATTCTCCACTTAAAATAAAGAAAAGGTCGTCATTTTTAAGAATAACAATAACAAAATAATATTGAAAATTAAATAATTCCTCCTTAGATAAAAATTCAATTGAAACAATAATATACTCCGTAACTAGTAAATTACCCGATGAAGTGATGATTGTAAACGAAATTATGAAAATATAATAAAAAAACAACAAAGAGTTAAGGTATTTACCTGTCGACGGGATTGTATACGAGCAAGCTACTACAATGACAAACAGAAGGACAAAATTTGGGAGAGATTGATGTGCTGTAGGTAAGAGATATTGCAATACGAAAATATATATATATACACAAAAAAAAAAACTGTAGTACCAAACTACCAATACTCCCAATTAATATTTTTGTCAGTCAACCCAATTAGAGAAAACCCAATTCAGATTTCTAGAAAAATGAAGTATAAAGTACCAACAATGGTGAAGAGTGTGAAGTAAACACAAAAAACAGAGAGGAGAGAGAAAGTGTGAGTACAGAAAAAGAGATAGAAGGTTGTTATGGGAAAAAGGAAAGCAAGGTCAAAAGCTGGAAAAGTGAAAAATTAAAGAACAGAAAACAAAGTAAAAAAAAAAAATTAGGGGGGCAATAATATTAATGGAGGAAAAGTGGTTACAATTGCTGGGGCGGTTTTCCACAATTTTTGAGACATTTGTCCGATTTATAAGGTCCTCTGTAATCACAATGGTCACTGCAACCACCACTTGGCAAACTTAAATTTGGCCAATAGCGTCCTTATGCTTTGCCCATTCACCCATGCCTCACCTTTTCCCATCCCGGTGAAGTCCAGAGCAAGTGGGTCATTCCCATCAGGAGCATTGAACGATGTATTTATACACCCATTTCATTGAACGATGTATTCCCATTCACCCATTGAACGATGTATTCCCATCAAGTGGGTCTTCTTGAGGCAACCATAATTGTATTTATACACCCATTTCATATAGAGGAGCCTAACGCGAACATGGGTCAGAAGTAGAGCTGTCAATTCGGGTAAACATGTCGGGTAAGTGTGGGTCGGATTAATTTGGGTCGGATCATTTCGGGTTGACTACATTAATGCACATGCACCTACAAAGTAGTAGTATTCGTAAATAGTAATTACTAAATTTGAATAAAGAATGCACATGCATCCAAAAAGTAGTGGTATTCATAAATTTTCATAGGTTTTTTTGAGACGTAAATTATAATACATTTGATAATAGAGATTTTTTTTGAAAATATTTGAATAAGCTTAAATAGGAAAATAACTCATAGAATTAGGGAAAGAAAAAAAAATATGACGTAATCCTAGATTGCTAGTTAATTTCGGGTCAATAACAAGTCGGGTTGATTTCAGGTCGGGTTAATGATAGATCGGGTTGAATTCGGGTCGGGCTAGTAATAGGTCGGGTTAAATTCGGGTCGGGTTAGTAATAGGTCAGGTTAAATTCAGGTCGGGTTAGGAATAGGTCAGGTTGAATTCAGGTCGGGTTAAATTCGGGTTTTGACGGGTTAAAACGGATCAATGTGTCATTCCCACATAACCATACACGCATGAATAAAAAAAGGTTCAATAGAGGAACAAATGAATAAAAAAACACTTAAACGCCCTAAACAAGTTAAATATAAAAGCTTAAATAAAAAAAGGAAAATGAAATCTAATAATCACACCTTTGCTCCATCTTCCAGAAACAATCTCACCTTTTGAAATTTTAGAAACAATTTCTTTAACAATAATGATATTATTATTATTTAATAATAATAATATAATATAATATAATAGTAATAATAATAATATAATATAATATAATAATAATATAATACAATATAATATAATATAATAATAATAATAATAATAATAATAATAATATAATATCATAGTAATATAATATCATATAATAATAATAATTTAATATAATATAAATTAAATGATCATAATAATAATAATAATAATAATAATGATAATAATAACAATGATAATAATAATAATAACAATGATAATAATAATAACAATAATAATTAAACATTAATATTGATTAACATTAAAAGTAGAATATTGAAATAATTAAAATAAGGTCAAATCAGAAAAAATAAGTTCAGATCAGATCAGATTAGAAAAAATAAGTTCAGATCAGATCAGATCAGATCAGAAAAAATAAGTTCAGATCAGATCAGATTAGAAAAAATACGTTCAGATCAGATCAGATCAGAAAAAATAAGTTCAGATCAGATCAGATTAGAAAAAATAAGTTCAGATCAGATCAACTAAAATCAGGTGAACTAAACAGCCTCTATGATTGTTACCTTATTCGGGTTGTTCTGTGCTTCTATCGCAAGAATGTGTAATATAAAGTTTAAACTCGTGACCATGGAAACTAGTTAAAGACTACACTCTACTTGAGCTACACCGTGACAAGTTCTTAACTTAGGTCCTGTTTAATTCACCTTTAAAAAATAATATTCAGTAAAAATAATTTTAGTTCAGTAAAAATAATTTCAATTCAGCAAAAAATAGGTTCAGTTCAGTAAAAATAATTTCAATTCGACAAAAATTAGTAACTCTAAAGAAGAAATATAATAGAGAATCAGTAAAAATAATTTCAGTTTAGCAAAATTAATTTCAGTTCAGTAAAAATAATTTAAGTTCAGTAAAATTAATTTTAATTCAGCAAAATAAGGTGAAGTCACTGAAGTGAATGGGGCCTTATTATATACCAGTAGTTGTTTATGGTGTACGTATTATTTTATTTTTTTTTCTCAAATAATAATTATAATTATGGTATGTCAAGCAAAAGGACATCCAGACTTGTGGTACCTTGAATCCTTGATACATTACTTATTATTTTAGATTAATGAGAAAATAGCTCTTTAAATAATCAGATTGTACCACGGAAGGTACGGTCCTAAAATTCCTTCTTTTTTTCTTGAATTTGTTGATGAACAAATGGTCCTAAAATCTGGATGCATGAAGTATATGATCATTATATAATAATGTCATGTATAATTCTCAAATTATAACCAGATTATGTCGTTGGTATTGGATATTTTTAAACAAAATTGTGGCATCAAATCTACGTAATACCGACCTAATAATCTATGTGCACAATTTGTGATTGTTGATTTAAAATTATTTTGTCACTTACATACTTTGTTGAATTTTATTTTGGAAAATTACTATCTTTTGAAATGATTTATTACATTTATGACTGGATTTTGGTGCTTTCATTCATTATTTACTCCGTAATACTACTAAGTATGTTATAACAATGATGTTGAACCCAACTTGATAGAACTTGAAACCTTGATTGATGGTCGAATTAAGCCTTAATTTGAACTACGCAATCCGGCTTAGTACA